TCTCATTTCAATTTAGTTGCAGTGAAGTGAAACACTGTGTACACTACGTGTATGTTGGTGTGTCTGTGCGTTTTGAGTGTGCACAAACGATCTTATTCCTCGTATTACTAATAGATTATTGTACCCACCATCACCTGTTCACAGGTCTTTGAGTGGATTGATTCTCATTGAGCATCACATTCGTTGAGAACTTGGTAGTTGTGTGCTCCCATGCATCATTACGGTAATAAGCGTATCCTTGTGCTATCTATTTGTTGCAGGTGTGCTGATCTTCAGAAGCTTGCAGAACTGAGTGCTGCTGAACATTTGCATGGCCATGAGCAATGGTGAAGCTTGCTATTGCACTCTCAGCATGTGCTAGTATTATGCTGACCACTGCATTATGTTACTCTCTTACACTACTACGTGTATGTAAACGTGCGTGTACCCGTCCCCGTACGCATTCGTTTCGTATAATAATTTGTTATCCCTCTTGACTTTACATGTAAATGGGTGGACGTTTGCATGGCTGTTGGAGTTGCGTGTGTATTGTGTCTCTACTCTTTTCTTGGTGTTTTCTTGGCGTTGTATAAGTGTGTGTGTGTGTGTGCGCGCGCGCGCACAATAATTTGAAAACAAATAATTAATCCTGGGCTCTCCATTATTCTCTTTCGATTCTTGTTTTTTTTCTAGGTATTTTCTTGGCGTTGTGTGGGTGTGTGCATGTGTGTGTGCGTGCACAATATTTTGGCAACACTACATGATTGAGATATTGTAATTTGCAGCGTCTGCGAAGAGAACACTTGATTTGAGGATGGTGTTTGTAGGGTTTTTCATGTAATGACGTGGCTGCAGTGGCGCCTCAATACATATTTTTTTATCTTGAGAAGTGAATGATGTAAAGGATTAAAGGAAGAGGCCGTTTTATGGTTAATATTCACTGCTTACAGCAGATCCTATGTCGATTTTCGAACTCGATAGGGGATGCATAATTGGCTGGACTTTATACAGGGGGTGTTGTCCACATAAAGACTCTTTATAGTTGATTTCAAAGTTTGGACTCCGTACAGTTGATTTTGGACCAATGGACTCTATATAGGGGTGAAGCCAATTGGCTGGACTCTATACAGGGAGTGATGTCCATCGAAACTTTGAGCTCACAGTTGATTCCAAGTTTGGACTCTGTACAGTGGATTTTGGACCAATGGACTCTGTATAGGGGTTGGACATCATATAGGGGCTGGACGCTCTACTGAGTCCAACATATATAATTAGAGTAGCAAAGGTGAACATGTACAAGTAGGTGTAAAATTTGTTTGGTTCATTAGAATACCCTGACGGCCCGATGTCCTGAAGGACGTATTCATTGTGGCCTAGCCAGCGGTAGCAACTAGCTAGATATTTTATATGTCTAAACACACTGATTTCGTGTGAGTGCTAAATGTACGTATCCAGGTGAGGGCAAAGCATTGATTGGTCTGTGAACGCGGCAGCGACTAGGCTGCTATTTACCAGTATTCAGGATATGAATGATCACGCGTAGAAAAGTATGGTGCTGTGAATCCTTCTTAGTGTTGAAGCTAGATGAAAACCTTACACCCCTGTGTCAGCCATTTTTGCTACTGAGTCAAAAAGAAATGGGATTGTGAGACTTGCTGTTTCTTGGACGTAGATTGCTGCGATGTTGGTGTTAGTGGCTGGAGCGGTAATAAAGCTTCGGCAGATTAAGCTGCTGTCTATCAGCATTCCGAAAGTGGATGGTTTCGGTCCACGGACTTGCTGCTACGGGGATCGGCTGGAGGGGTGGTGGTGCCGGCAACTGCTGCTTCGGTGGTAGTGGAGGCCATGGGAACTACGGCTCCCATGGTGGTGGATGTGTTTGGTGCAGCTGCTGCGGTGCGCCTACTCCGGTGCTAAGGTGCTGCTGGTGCTGCTGCTTCTGTGGTGGTGGCGGCTTTGGTGGCGGTCCTGGGTATTGCTGCTGATGCCATGGTGGTTGTGTTGGGTGATGCTGCTGCGGTGCAGCGGTGGTGCTGTTGCTGCGTGCCGCTTCTGTGGCGTTGGCCATCCAGTATCCTGCTGCTGCTGCTGCTGAGGTGGTGCAAATCCATGGTCCTGCTGCTGCGGCTGTCGTGGCAGTCCTTGGTGCTGGTACTGCTCTGGTGGTGGCGGGGCTGGGAGTAACTTCTGTCATGGGATTCTTGGGACTTGCGGCTTCGGTAGTTGTGGTGGCCGGTACTGATACTGTGTTGTGGCTGTGGTGCAGCTGTGGCGGTGGCTGTGATGATTCCGTGGTGTTAGCGAGGATTCAGCATCTTCTTTCATCCGCTCCTGTCATCCCTGCTTGTTCTGTCGCATTGACAATGTATGCTACTGATTATATACCCTGCAGTAACGGATGCTGTAACTGTAATTGGAAATAGCTGTTCTGTGTTCGATGCGCTCTCAGTGCCTAATGATCGAGGGTGAGCCTATTCATTAGAATCTGATTTGTTACATACAGAGAATGGTGAACCCTCACATTCCCCCGGTGGTGTTCTTGGATTCACTTCAAGTGAACTAGATGGAAAAGGTATATCATTATCCTCCTCAGTTTCTTCGGCTTCAAGGTCATGATGATCACCGGCCGCATTGGCCACTTCAACATTGCTATCGCTAGGATGATGCCGCACACGGTGTTTCCAGAGTGACCTCTTGGAAAGGATTTTGTTTGAACCGCCGAGCTTAGGACATTCAAAACATGTTCTCTCTGTGTGCGTTTCCTCAAGCACCTTCAATTGTCGGGCACGACGGAACGCTCTACCACAGCCGTGATGCTTGCATTTAAAAGACATTCACCTGTGTGCTGTCGTAAGTGCATAATAAGATTCATTTTTTCTTTGAATGTATTACTTCCACACCCCAGCCATTGGCCTTTAGGCTTGCTGCTCCCTGCTGTGCAGGTGTTCATTGACGGTGTGAGCTGCAAGCTCTTCCACAGTTGCGAAGCTCTTATAGCAAACATTTCCTTCACCATTGCTCACACACCCCTGACAAACATGGTTCGTTACAGCTGGTTGTGGTACTATACGATCATGGTTTTCACTATCCTCAGCCTGTCCCTTCATCGTGGCCGCAGCAGAGGCATTGGTCGGCTCAGAGTCGGTAGGATCCGCCATTCCTCTTTAGGCGAAAAGAAAGCAGGTAGTGTTGATCCCAACGATGGGTGTACGAGAGAGGTGCTCTTGCAGAATACAGCTTATGGTAAGGTTGTGGTCGACAGCAATCAGCACCAATAGACTGGTAGGGACTGGATTACGCGATAGGGATAATGGACGTGTTGATGGTTTTCTCAGACCATTGACTGAGAAACAGGGCGACGCCGACACCGTCAAGTGTTTTTACTACAATGTCGAAAGCTAAAGTAGAATTCAGGAGAAATGGACAACTGCTACTCCTCAAAGGAAAGTATCACAATGCCAGCTAACTGAGAAGTCATGTATTATATAATACTGCAACAAAGGTAAATAACTGGTACTAGTATGAATGTAGTGTCGAAACTGGAGGTGATTATAGTGCACGACTGAAACTGCAGTAAGTAGGTGAGAGACGGCCACCATGACGAACAGGTCGGGAGCGTTTTGAAGAGTGGTGTGGAATTGTGTGAGAAATGATTTGCCTAAGGGGGCGTCTACACACCCTTTAGAACATTCTGCAACATGCACACAAAAAGTATAGAGGAAGCTGTGATGCGACCTCCATTCTCACGTGTAATCAACGTCACTAGATAAGCGATGCATCCAAAAATGGCACTGTGAACACAGAAAGATAGCAATGTAGAGAAGAGGAGGACCACGTATGCGAAATGAAGTATGAATCGGCCTTTACGCTGCGTTTACACGACAACTCACGGCCAGTTTTCCGTTTTCAGTCTCGTATTTCTTTGTTAGTTTTCGTACGTGTACATGACCAAAGCTGATCCGCCATCTTGCATTCACCAGAATGTTGCCAAGTGGAGCAGCATTGCAGCGCTCGTAAACCAAATCGTTCGACAGTCGGTTGGGCCACCTGATACCCAAGATATGCCGAAGTTGCCGCCGATGATACGATTCCAGATAATAGTAATGATAATGATTAACCCCCTTTGGCTAGAAATCTATAAATATTAGGGACTCCTGAGTGCAGATCGATAATTTATGTTTACCACAGTGGTACCAGGTCCATCAGAAACGTTATCACATTACTACAAACAAACGAAGAAAAGCAGGAACAGGATTGTGCCTACAAGACACAACATCAAACGTGAAGAATCCCTGCAGCAGGGTAGACTGAGTCGACGACAAATATGGCCAAAAGGTCTTTACAGGGGTCGTATGCTACTCATTTGATCTAGCATGGCAAACAGAAAAACTAATCTAAAACTAATAGTACTTCAAAGTAGGCATATCGAGACACATGAGGAAAATATAATTAGAGTAGCAAAGGTATACATGTACAAGTAAGTGTAAAATTTGTTTGGTTTATTAGAATACCCTGACGACCCGATGTCCTGAAGAACTTATTCATTGTGGCCTAGCAAGCAGTAGCAACTAGCTAGATATTTTATATGTCTAATTTCGTGTGAGTGCTAAATGTACGTATCCAGGTGAGGGCAAAGCATTGATTGGTCTGTGAACGCAGCGGCGACTAGGCTGCTGTCTACCAGCATTCAGGATATGAATGATCACGCGTAGAACAGGATGGTGCTGTGAATCCTTCTTAGTATTGAAGCTAGATGAAAACCTTACACCCCTGTGTAAGCCATTTTTGCTACTGAGTCAAAAACCAATGGCATTGTGGGAGTTGCTGTTTCTTGGCCGTAGATTGCTATGATGTTGGTGTTAGTGGCTGGAGCGGTGATAAAGCTTCGGCAGATTAAGCTGCTGTCTATCAGCATTCCGAAAGTGGATGGTTTCGGTCCACGGACTTGCTGCTACGGGGATGGGCTGCAGGGGTGGTGGTGCCGGCAACTGCTGCTTCGGTGGTAGTGGAGGCCATAGGCACTACGGCTCCCATGGCGGTGGATGTGTTTGGTGCAGCTGCTGCGGTGCGCCTACTTCGGTGCTGAGGTGCTGTTGGTGCTGCTGCTTCTGTGGTGGTGGCGGCGTTGGTGGCGGTCCTGGGTATTGCTGCTGATGCCATGGTGGTTGTGTTGGGTGATGCTGCTGCGGTGCAGCGGTAGTGCTGTTGATGCTTGCTGCTTCTGCGGTGGCGGCCATCCAGTATCCTGCTGCTGCTGCTGAGGTGGTGCCAATCCATGGTCCTGCTGCTGCGGCTGTGGTGGTAGTCCTGGGTGCTAGTACTGCTTTGGTGGTGGCGGGGCTGGGAGCAACTTCTGTCATGGGAGTCTTGGAACCTGCTGCTGCGGTAGTTGTGGTGGCCGGTACTGATGCTGTGGAGGCTGTGGTGCAGCTGTGGCGGTGGCTGTGATGATTCCGTGGTGTTAGCGAGGATTCAGCATCTTCTTTCAAAAGCACCTGTAATCCCTGCTTGCTCTGTATCATTGACAGTGTTTGCTACAGATTATATTCCTGCTGTAACGGATGCTGTAACTGCAAGTGGAAATAGCTGTTCTGTGTTCGATTCGCTCTCAGTACCTAATGAACGAGGGTGAGCCTATTCATCAGAATCTGATTTGTTAAATACAGAGAATGGTGAACCCTCACATTCCCCCGTTGGTGTTCTTGGATTCACTCCAAGTGAACTAGATGGAAAAGGTATATCATTATCCTGCTCAGTTTCTTCGGCTTCAAGGTCATGATGATCACCGGCCGCATTGGCTACTTCAACATTGCTATCGCTAGGATGATGCCGTACCCGGTGTTTCCAGAGTGACCTCTTGGGAAGGTATTTTTTTTGAACAGCCGAGCTTAGGATATTCAAAACATTTTCTCTCTGTTTGCGTTTCCTCATGTACCTTCAATTGCCGGGCACGACGGAACGCTCTACCACAGCCGTGATGCTTGCATTTAAAAGGGCATTCACCTGTGTGCTGTCGTAAGTGCATAATAAGATTCCTATTTTCTTTGAATGTCTTGCTTCCACACCCCAGCCATTGGCATTTAGGCTTGGCTTGCTGCTCCCTGCTGTGCAGGTGTTCATTGACGGTGTGAGCTGCAAGCTCTTCCACAGTGGCGAAGCCCTTATAGCAAACATTTCCTTCACCATTGCTCACACACCCCTGACAAACATGGTTCGTCACAGCTGGTGTTTGGTTTTCACCATCATTGGCCTGTTCCTTCATCGTGGCGGCAGCAGAGGCATTCGTCGGCTCAGAATCGGTATAATTCACCATTTCTCTTTAGGCGAAAAGAAAGCAGGTAGTGCTGCTGCCAACAATTGGTGCACGAGAGAGGTGCTCTTGCAGAATACAGCTTATGGTTGGGTTGTGGTCTACAGCAATCAGCACCAATACACTGGTAGGGACTGGGTTACGCGATAGCGAGAATGGACGTGTTGATGGTTTTCTCGGACCAATCACTGAGAAACAGGGCAACGCCGACACTGTCAAGTGGTTTTACTAAAATGTAGAAAGCTTAAGTAGAATTCAGGAGAAATGGACAACTGCTAACCCTCATAGAAAAGTATCACAATACCAGCTAACTGAGAAGTCATGTATTATATAATACTGCAACAAAGGTAAATAACTGGTACTAGTATGAATGTAGTGTCGAAACTGGAGGTGATTATAGTGCACGACTGAAACTGCAGTAAGTTGGTGAGAGAGGGCCACCATGACGAACAGGTCGGGACCGTTTTGAAGAGTGGTGTGGAATTGTGTGAGAAATGAAGTGCCTAAGGTGGCGTCTACACATCCTTTAGAACATTCTATAACATTCACACAAAAAGTATAGAGGAAGCTGTGATGCGACCTCCATTCTCACGTGTAATCAACGTCACTAGATAAGCGATGCATCCAAAAGTGGCACTGTGAACATAGAAAGATAGCAATGTAGAGAAGAGAAGGACCACAGCACAACCTTACACATAGCCGATCAGTATTTACATCCACGTATACGAAACAACACGCTCCGCTCATTTCCCCACTCCCTCTTCGCAACGTGGAATCAGCTCCCACCTACTCTTCTGCAGTCTCCCCCTTCTCACAGAGGTATGCACACGTTCAAGAAAAAAGTCAACGACCACTTGCGGCGCAACAAGTGGGAGTGGGCCACAGACAGGCTATCATCTCTGCAAACACACCAGCCTAATTATACTGACCGCACTCCAGCTCCCTTCTACACCTTTTGATCCCATTCGCTCAGCCTTAAAATCCGATTATCAGTTCACTCCATCTTCCCACGGTGCACTGCTTTTACTATTGTTTTGTCCTATCCCAATCTCAAATTCTCCTCATTATCGTTTGCAAAGCCGGTGCTCCCCTCTTGGATGCACATGTTTCTGTTCTCCTATGTATCGGCGCACAGGAGTAACGTTGATTCCGAGACCTTTGGTCGGAGGAGTTACTTTTGCCCCGCCCCCACTTCCATCCAATATGCCACCGCCCCGACTGTGCAGCATCTGATGGTGGAGAAGAGGAGTACTCATTACGCTGATTTATTGTGAGTAGTAGCTGTGTGTATTCAGTGGAGGGCAGAGCATTGATCAGGATGTGAACGGTGGGACTAAGCTGCAGCCAATCAGCCTTCAGGGAGTCGACGATCACGCGCAGAAGAGTGAGCTGTTTTGTTTTGGAATCCTTCTCAGTGGTGAAGCCAGATACAAAGTTTACATCGCTTTGTATCATATTTCTGCTTCTCGGTCTAATGATGTTGGTCGAGGGGGTAAGGCCGTTTGTTAAGCGCGGATTGATGGGATTTTGGTGTACGTGAAAGCGGCTATTGCTGCTGCTGTGGTGATGACGGTGCTTGCACATGCTGCTCTAGTGTTTGCGCGAATGCATCATCTGCTTCTGAAGCTTGTCCCTTGGCCTTCATAGGTGTTCCTACTGGTGAGGTCTCTGCTGTAACGGCTGTTGAAAGTGCCAGAGATTCGTTCTCAGTCTTCGATGTACTCTCACTACCTCATGATGGAGAGTTAGAACACACCTCAGGCTCTCACTGATCAGATATAGAGAATGGTGAACCCTAACTTTCGCCCGTTGGGGATCCTGGATTCACTTCGAGAGAACTGGTTGGAGAAGGTATATTATCCATATCCTCGTCACTTCCTTCAGATTCATCGTCATGATGATCATCTGCCACATTGGCCACTGCAGCATTGCTATGGCTAGCATGCCAACGTTGTAGATGTAACCTGACTGCGCTCGGGCGCGTAAATGTGTCGGAACATCCAGGCTTAGGACATTTGTAATATTTGCCTGTGTGCTTTAATTTGTGGTCGTTGAGAGACCTGCCATGAGCAAATGCCATTTCGCAGCCTTGATAATCGCATTTCAAAGGGCGCTCACCGGTGTGCTGTCGGATGTGTATAACAAGTGACTCTTTGTTCTTGTATGCCTTGCGAGCACACCCCTGCCATTGGCATTTATAGCTAGTTTCCTGCTCCATGCTGTGACGTTTTCTCGAGGTCAGGTGTTCTTTCCCGATGTGAACGGCAAGGTCTTCACCAGTAGTGCAACGCTCATCACAAACATTACCATCATCGTTGTCCACACGCCACTTACACACGTGATATCCGTGCATCGCGGCAGAAGCAGTAGCTTTGGTTGATCCAGAGCCGGTAGATTCCGCCATTAATTCGTCTATGGATCTACCGATAGCAGTACTGCTTGCAACATACGATGTACCACGGCGATGTTCTTGCTAAATACCGATTATGAATTTGGGATAGTGGCGTAGAATTTTTGGGGAGATTAAGTGTCTAAAGAATAGAAAATAGTTGTCCTCGTACCGTGTGGCCGTTCGATCCTGACAATTTAGAGAACCACAAGGGTTCACACAAATCCGTGCTAGTATAGCACAAGAAACTAAACACGTCGGATGTAGGTGCGAAAACCAACATAGATATTAAACAAATGTCCAAAAAATGAAACATGTAAGTTCCAGATTGCTAGATCGCAATGCTAAATGTACTCCGCAAACCGAAAACAGTTCCCATATCGCACAATCATGCTTGTGTTAATGCTGAGCTGAAGGCACATTCGACCAATGTCATATTTCAGCTCATCCTTCCTTTTGCGCTAACAATTTTCCTGCCTTTGAAAATTATCACCCACAACCCCCCCCCCCCCCATACACACACACACATCCTTGTCTTTCGCATTTCACAAGCAATCGTTGAGGACATGCAAGTACTTCCGAGTGAAGTTTGAAATGTTGGTTAGAGTGATACCAAGACAATAATCAATAATCACATAACCGAAGTAGCTAGACCCACTTCTTTGCACTGTTGTCCACGGCGCAGGCTTATCCCCTAACCTTTTGGGAGGCTACAAAGCAGGGAATTGCCAACATGCCACTGTAATTGCTCTGCACTTCCATGAACCACACAGTCTTACTTAGCTTTTCGGAGTTCGCCAGGTGTTTACTGCGCTTGAAAATAGTGCTATATTAAGTTTGTATAACTAGTGGTGGTTCTTGAATAGCATCTCATTAGTATATCATTTCCCCATCCAACTCAATTATTGAGATGTGAATGACCCAAAACAACAGTAAATCCATCAAGCAGAGAGTGATTCATTTCTCAGTGGAATGGTGCGGCTGGGGCGGCGGTCAAGGCCATGAAGCAATTGCTTATGAAAATCGGCAAAGGAGACGCCTATAACATCAGTGCCTTCAGGGAAGGATTCATGGAAAGGCGTAGAACGCCGAGTGCAGTAGGACAAGCCTGGCCGAGCTGCTGTTTGGAAGGCCAACGAGGGCGGAAGTTCCCACACTCCCTGAAAATCTGCAGCAGTACGCTGCCCACAGCCGCAGCGCTCCCCAACAGGTTTCATCCCGGCTAGGCAAATCTCTGCCCCTATCAATTTCAGGATTTTTTTGCGTTAGTGCTCCAAAGTCGTGCACAAGCCGAGAGGGAATGTGGTCATATCATAGCATCTTTCTCTGCATGCGACTCGGCAATTAGGCTGCTACTGTTTCCATCTGCTTCCATGCACTGTTGCACGCTGCACTGCTGGACCCCACGCGCCTTGCGCAAAACGTTAGCACATTCACATGTCACCTTTCACGCCGCCTTTGCAGCCATTGCGTTTCACTGATCTTTTCATTCTCATCCTTCGTAGAGTTGGTCTTCGGCTGAAAGCTATATAAATCGGAGGTAATATAGCTCAAGAAGTTAAGGTTCGAAGGCTGCCGTGCGAAAACACGGACTGGTAAACAAAAAAATATCTAACAAACAAGCAGATTGATTAACAAACAAGAGATATAGAAAAGAAAAAGAACATATGGAAACGAGTTGAGAGTAACTCTCCACCACTGTAACTATATACTATATACAAGAGATAGGTGGCCTTACCTCAAGACTAGATTTACTCGACCAACCAAGAACGTATGCCCTTTCAAACAATCATGCTTATGTCAATGCCCATGCTTGCTACTTC